GAGCGGCGCGTCGCCGCCAGAGATCCGGGCTTCATTAGTCAGCTGATTCCATCAATAACATTTTGTGACAGGTGCCTCTGCGGTATCGCGGCGAGTGTGGCGCGGCGCCCTGGCCGGCCAACGCTCCTCGCACCGCGCCACGCAGGCCGCCGCCAGCGCGCCCGCCCCGGGTAATCGGTATAAATGGGCCCAACTCTTTGAGAGGTGGGCGGCGGGGGCGGCCGGGGAGGCTCGGTCCGCTGACAAATGGCTCGGCGGGCGGGAGAGGGCGCCTGCCGGACAATCGGCCGCCACCAGGGGGCGCCGCCGCCGGCCGGGGCTGGGACGCGCGGCCGAGGGTGGGCCGGCGGGCCGGCAGGTAGACCGGCGGGGCCGGCGGGGGTTCGACGGCGCCGGCGGCGCGGTAGAGGAACCGGCCCAGCGGCCGCTCCACTGCTGGCATGGGTAACACGCTGAGTGTTCACTGTGCGGCGCGAGTTGTGCTGACTTTTATTACCATTTTGGCATCACATGTCAGTGGAAATGGGCTCCATCTTTTTATAATGCATTTTGACCGGACAGTTTTTCAGGACGGTCTTGGATCAGCAAAGCTTGTTGCGAAGACTGACCCATCACCTCAGGGCAGCAGTATCCGCGCGACGTATAATTTGGATAAAAATTCCAACATGCCATGCAATGTCACAACACAGCCACGCTGTTCCAGCTCGACCCTCTCGTGGCTAGTTTCCAGTGGTCGTCTCAGACGGGCCGAAACAGCCGTGCGCGGTTTCTGCGGCGCGAACCCATAGTAGCCAGTGGCCAAAGTGGCTTAGAAGACATGCACATGCAAAAATGCCAAGCTGCTCCGCCCGCAGGCGAGGTAGTCTTTCAGGTTTCAAAGCTCCAATGTCTGACTTAAGCCTTTGATAGTCTTTTACAGTGTAATTAAGCAGAGTCTTAAAAAGAAATTTTGCAAAAATAGCATTGGAATTTTGTCATTTTATCGTTCTGGACGCACAACCACATTACTCTGCAATATCTTTTCGCACATCCTCTCTGCTTAGGTTGTGACAAGAGTGTTTCGATTGGAAGGGAACCTCTTCGCATAATTTCAAATTACGTGCTGCGGAAATGAGATCATACCACATTGCACACTAACAAATGTCAATTATATGGCGGAAACGGGCCCCATTCATCAGGCGTTGACTTCCGCAAATCGCTTTATCGAAGCCCGTGCATTGCTCCCATACAGCAATTCTCCTTTGGGTCTGCTGTCAGTCGCATCTGACTTCATTCTCCGTTTGCTGGGCAAATCGAATTTCTATTCATTGGCACACCAGCGCAGTGCAATGGCCAGAACGAGCGCCAATTGGTTGAGCAGCTGAACTGAATCGAATCAATTTTGCACTTGTCCTTGATTTGCAGCAGGCTTGGGAGAACCAGGAAGAGAGTGACAGCTTTGAACGTCAATGAGTGACCTCATGACAGGATGAACGGTCCCGCGTCACGAGTCTGAGCACCACGCGCCGTGCCAGCGCGGCCAAAAAAGAACGTTCTTTACACAGACCATAGCCTGCGGTGGATGATGATGTGATCGATGGAATACGAGTGGCAATATGAAGCTATGCCGGCCGACGTCTCCGGCTTCTGCTACCCAAATCAAACAATAAGTCCGACAGCGAGAAGATTGCTCATATCCCACTTTAATAAGTCGTTCCATCGTAGATACTACCGATGTTACAATCGTAGATACTACATGCCATCTTCTGAAGAGAAGTGCTCCCGTAGCAGCAGCCATGGCGAGAGAAAGCCGCGCCTGCCGCTGGCCTCCGCCAAGAGCGTTAATCAACTCCGGCTTCATCGGGACACGCGGGCGTCCAATCGGGCTGGTGATATACCGGCCGGCGCATCCATCATCGGGCCGTCGAATCGGAGCCAATCACGGCGTCTGTGGCCCCATACGGCCGGCGCGGCGGGCAGCCGCCGTGGCCGCCGGCGCCGGTGCCTGGTCACTCACCCGCCGCCGACAGCCGACCGCCGCCGACAGCCGACCGCCACCGACAGCCGACCGCCGCCGACAGCCAACCGCCGCCGACACTCGGCCGTCGGCCGACAACCGACCGCCGCCGACAGCCGACCGCCACCGACAGCCGACCGCCGCCGACACTCACCCGCCGCCGACAGCCGACTCACCGCCAAACAGCCGACCCGCCGCCGACAGCCAACACGCCACCGACAGCCCACAGCCGACCGCCGCCGACAGCCGACCGCCACCGACAGCCAACCCGCCGCGACAGTCGACCGCCGCCGACAGCCGACTCGCCGCCCGCCAGCCGACTCGCCGCCGACAGCCGGCTCCGCCGCCGACAGCCCGCCGTCGCCACACCTGTCATACACCGGGAGAGGCGGCGGCCGATGGTGGTGGGCGTTGGCGCAGAAAGGCGTGTTTTTCTTCGGCTGCAACATGCCTCGTGAGTCAGAGGTCGTGAGCCATCTTGTCGGTGTGTGTGCTCGCGTGTGCCACGCGGCGCGATCGTGCACCGTGTAGGAAGGAAGTGGTTTGATAATGACACATAGGCTACCGGTCACAGCTTTCCTGTGCTGCTGTTCTCAAAACAGTGAACTCCGGACTGAGGTTAGCGTGGGCGTTAGCGCCTCCTTCCTGCCAAGTGTCTTTCCTCATCACGACCCCCGGTCCACTTCCAAAGCGTGGTTAGAGGTCGACTCCCCTTCCTCGACGTCGCAGTCGCCCTCCACCAGTCATCGACAGATCTCCCCGTGTCCGCAGTCCCAGCAGTTCGTCTCCCTCCCAGCAGCACCGTCATCGACAGACCTTCCCGTGCCCGCAGTCCCAGCAGTTCGTGTCCCTCCCAGCAGCACCGTCATCGACAGACCTCCCCGTGCCCGCAGTCCCAGCAGTTCGTCTCCCTCCCAGCAGCACCGTCATCGACAGACCTTCCCGTGCCCGCAGTCCCAGCGGTTCGCCGCTGGTCCAGCAGCGCTGGTCAGCGGTTGACCCTCGCCCTCCCAGCTCCATCAGCTGCGGCCCGCGTACCGCCGGTGCGCTCGCTCATTAGGTAGCCACCGGCGCCGGAGGCCGCCCCCGGCCGAGCGGGCGGACCGCTGCTGCTGCTGCCCTCCAGCCACTCATTCTCATGCACAGGCCGTGGCACATTAGTACCACACACGTGAGGCCGTGCCGTGCGTGGTACGTGCGCACGCACGTGCGAGGTTGTGCGTGGTACACCACAGGCACGTGAGGCCGTGCATGGTACACCAGAGGTACGTGCGAGGCCGTGCGTGGTTCGTGTTGCACGCGCACACTGTACGTGATCGTATACAGGCCATGCACGAAAACGTCCACGGTACATGGTTGGTGAGCAAGGTCATATGCACAGTGCATGGATATTCGGTTGCTTGTATACCAATGCCCAGATGCATGCCAATCACATACGCTCCCAGAAGCTGGAGAACATGAGCCCCAAATTGAAAAGAATGATGAAGTATGTTCTTATAATAGATGACCAGGACTCAAACCACGCAAAATCGCACCTTACCGAGAAGGGTCCTGCATTTGGCATGTTCATTCCGCGACCATCAAACACATGCACCGATCTGATGACCATATGTGGCTATGCGTGACCAAGGTACACAACACACATCGGTGCCAGGCAGCATTCGGCCAGTGTTGCGCTGCACCATTGGTGTGAAGCTGCTCGAGCCTGCATGGTGCTGGGCTGATGATCCTCGGTTTGGTGAACAGGCTGGTGATCTTTCGTCCGGCAAGCAGGCTGGTGATCTTTCGTCTGGTGAGCAGGCTTGTGATCTTGCGTCCGGTGAGCAGGCTGGTGATCTTTCGTCCGGCGAGCAGGCTGGTGATCTTTCGTCTGGTGGGAGCGTCCTCGTGAGGCCGGCTCGCCGCAGCTCCCGAGACGGCTGCCGTTCGCAGTCGCCACGCCGCAGGGGAACGGCCGTCTCGTGGGAGCCCTCACCCGGCTCCGGAGCACGCGGCGGCGGCCGGCTGCCGTCCGGCGCCGGCGGGCCAGCTGTCGCGCCAATGGGGAGATCGGCGGTGCCGGGGTCACCGCTGGCGGTCTGTGGTCGGCCGTGTGACCGCCCCGGCCGGCCGGCTCACCACTAACGGCGCCGCCCGGCCGGCCGCCGCTCATGGGGGACGGCGGCGCGCGCGCGGGCCGCGCTCAAAATACCACCCTGCCAGCACCCGATGATCAATCGTTCGTTAAAGGCTTTTGCGGAGCAGTGACTTCCTCCGTCATTGGCTGTAATTGAGCGCTTTGAAGAGTTCTGAGAAGGCGGCTCGCTGAAGGGACCAGGAATGTTCTAATTCAAAGCCTTTACGTTTTTCATGAACTGCTGGCGATTGAAAAAGTGAACGGAACTGGAAAGTCATGGAAAATCTCTCAAGAGCTTTCTAACCGTCGTTGAAATATTTGCTGTCACAATTTTACGCACCAGTAAGTCGTAACAATGACATAAGCTGCGAAAGGTGCGTTGTTCAACAGAGCTCGCCCGCACGTTTGGTAAGCAACATTGCAATCTCCCCCGGCGGATGTGCATTCCCGAGCAGCATTGCACCTTGCAAATGCACACCCACCGATGGGCGATATGGCGTGCAACGTCGCGGTTGCGGCGAGCGCAGCGTCCGACCTCATTACCCTCATTGACCGTGCCGCTGGTCAGAGGCCGCGGGCGCTACCATTACCCGACCAGCGCGCACCTGGGACGCGCCGCTGCTGCCACCTGCCGGCCGGCGGCCGCACCAGGTGCGTGCCGCTCGGCAGAGTACGGCGGTGCGCTACGCGGGGAGGACGTGCGACCCCGTGCTCCGCGCGTTCACTGGCCGCCACCCGTGCGACGCCGCTCCAGTCTCGGTGTCGGCAGTGCCAGGACTCGGCAGTGTACTGGACGGCGGCCTGCGCCCGACCGACGACGGCAGCGTCGACGTCGACGACCCGGCCGTCGGATCGACGATCGACTCTAGGCGGCGGAAACGGGTGCAATCGATCGCACGTGGGGCCGAAACACCTGCCCGGCGCCCTCCCCCGGCGGTCACAACTGCGCCACGTCGGCCGGTCGGCACGAACTGCTCTGGGACGCTGAAGTCGCGAGAGCCGACGAAATCGAAGGGGATTTTTCGCTTTCATTCGTCACGTTGTCATGGTAACGTGCTGAGTCCGACTGTCAACAAAGCGATGCTACTTGCAAACATGGACGTCCGGCGGGCGTTCCCGATCCTCGCCGCGCTGCTCGTCTGCGCCTCGGGATCACGGGTGGAGCTGGTCAACAACGGCTACAGCGGCCTCGTGATCGGCATCGACGACAAGGTGGACGTCCTGCAGTGCCACGACCTGCTGGGGAACCTGCAGGTGAGCTTGACGCCTCTCTCACGATCCCGGAGTCCGTCCGGTGTGGTGGGGCGGTGGCAGTGGTGAGCGCTACCGCACGGCATGCGTTGGTGTCGCCGCCTGTGAACCTGGCATGTGAAAATCAGCTCGGCTGGATTCACAGGCCGGCGGCGGCCTGCAAATAGCGCGAGCCGCGCGTTTTTGCCGGCCGGCTACCGGCCGCAGTTCCCAGCCGGGCCAGAGTTCACGTTTAGCGGTTAGTCGCTTACGGTCTTGATGATCATTACTGGCGAGGCGGCGGCCAGGCCAGCGCGGCGCGGCTGCTGTGCAGCCAGCGGCGGTGTCGGCGCCCCGCCGCCGGCCGCCGGAGCTGACCCGGCGGCAGCAGCGTCCGTGGGTACGGCCGGGGGTCGGCAGGTTACCGGTGGTGTTGGCGGTGCCGCCACAGCTCACCTCTTGACACGGGCCTGCACAGAGGCCAGAAGGTCCGATGCGGGCTGACTGGACCGCGACGACAGAGCTGCGGTGCGGACACTGGTCGTCGCGGGGTTGGCTGTTGACCCAAGCCTGCGGCCTTGCTCTGGACCTCCGCCAGCGGGCGGCAACCTTTCAGTAAGGGTCAAGTGGAGAAGCGTGTAACCAACGTGACGGCACCAGACCGAGGTCGTTACACTGCGGTAAATGGCTTCCGATCAATAGGGGAAGCCGGACCAGAAAAGGTTAAACGGTTAACGGCCAGTTGCGGCGCGGCTGAGACGGCCGGCGCTCATCGGGGTTACGCCGGCGGAACGCACGCGGAAGGAGGACACTCAGCGCAACACACTTCACACGTCACACTTCACTTACACCTGGCCGCTGCCTCCTGTAATTATTGCCCAATTAAATCCAGTCTGGAACTGATCACATCTGGTTCGCGTCCAGTGCACAGTCATCAATCAATTGATGAATCCTTCTGGTGGGCACTTACCTGCATTAGTCTGCCAAGCGCCAGGTGATATTTATCTCATGGAGGGCCCTGCCATCTGCGTGTTTGATAACCTCAGAAGGAGGACGTCTGACCCTTGGGCCAGGCCTCGTCAGCAGTGAGGGGCGCGCTCCAGGACAGCGCGGACACCGTCGTCTCCTGTCACGGCGTGTCCGCCCCCCCCCCCCCCCGCTCCCCCTCAACCACGCCGTCTGTACGGGAGACGCCCCTCTCCTCCACAGACACCCAGGGGCGCTGCCGGCAGGGCAGACCGACATGATCATGTCGACCTCTCGAGACCAGCTGCACGGGTTATGGGTACGGCGCCCCCGCCCTGGCGCCGGCAGCGGACTGACGGCCTCGTCACACTTGCTGTCGCCGCTCGCTGGCTGGTGACGAATGGTGTACACGGTCGAGCCGCGTCCAAGAGGCAGCGACCTTTTGACACAACCCGCCAACAACTACAGATGAGGATTTCCGAGAAATACGTACATGTGGCCTTGCGCCGAGCACATGGTAACGCACAGTTGCGAAATACGTGATGTACATTGCAAGGGGGTGGCGAAGAACCGGAATCAGCTTAGCATGTTCTAGAGACGGTTTTATTATATTTGCATGACAACCGTCAATCCGATGAAACCGTTATGTCATCAAAGAACGTCGCCTAAGAAGCATAAGAGCCCCGGTGCTACTCTCTTCTTGAAGCCCTCCGGCTGTCAGTTGACGAATTATGCCTGCTATAACGCGTGAGCAGCACCTAGCGAACTGCCGCCGGCACCCGCGGCGTCACGGGCCAGGTCACGACCCGCTTCAGTCCGCCGGAAGCCCGGTGCCGAGCCGACAGCGCGCCGACGGGCAGCGCGCCGACACGGCCAGCGCGCCCCGCCGAGCGCGCGCGGCTACGTGGCTATTTGTGCCGCCGCGCCGCGGCCGCGGCACGCTCCGCACGCGACTCCCGGTCACGAACTATCCGACTCGGCTGGGGTGGCGGCGATCACGGCCGCCCTCGGCCGCCGAGACGGCACTCAGACGCGCTGAAACGGCACCGAGGTGACTGCACGCTGCCCGCCGCTCGCGTCGAATGTGCCGCCGCGTCGGCTGCCGCGACTGGTGAGCAGGCGAGCGGGCGTCGTCGGCCGGGTCACGACACCGCCACGCCGGGGCGCCCGGCACAGCCGGCAGGCGCCGGCGCGGTCCGGCGGCCGCCGTCCGGCCGATGACACCGCACCCGCGCCCGGCGCGCCGCCATCGGCTGCCGTGGAGCGTGACCGCCCGGATCACCTGCTCCGCCATGCGTGCCCCCCCCCCCCCCTATCAGACAGCCGTCAGTCCCCTCATCTGAGCCCCCGCCGAGTGCGGCGGGTCGTTAGCCCTGCCAGCGGGAGAGAGCGATGCCGGTTAACTCTGGCCCGTCTTGCGGGCGGGGAGCTACCCGACAGTGTTTGAATTCCACTCCGCTCCGAGCACTTGATAACGATTACACAGCGATAAATTACGGAGGCTTGCAGACAACCGGCGTTGATAATTCATTAGTGGCATACTGTCGACTGATGCGTACTTAAGCGCTCGCAGCCCACTGAGCTGGACAAGGTCGCTTCCGTTCCTCAGGTGCGGCGCGGGTCGTGCCCAGACGGCTCCTGCGCCTCCCTTGCGATGGTTCTGCTCCGGCCGCCGCCACCGGCGTCGGCGGGCGGGGGCCGGGCGTGCGCCGGAACCGCTCTGGCGGCGCGGACGTGCCGGCCGGGGAAGGCTTCCGGCGCGGGCGCGGGCGCGGGCGGGGCCGGCGTCGACCGGGCGTGCTGCGGGACACGCCCCGCTCCCGTCCGGCGGACGGCCGCCGGGCTGAGCGCACCGGCGCCGCCGGGAGGGGACACGTTACGGGCGGGGACCACGCGGAGGGAGCATGGCGCGGCCCAGGGAGACTGCAGGCACGGATCGCGCTGTACATGCGGACCGGGTGTTCATGGAGAGGAGCCTCGTTTCGCCTGCCATTCACAGGATTACGCGCGGTGTCAGACCGGGACAGCAGCGTCGGACCACGGACTGTGCAGAGGCTCGGACGTCTGGCCAATGTGTACCGAGGAGTCTGGCCAAGGTGACTGTGGGATTGTCGGCACATCTGCCCAGTCACCTGCAACATTTGCCCGCCTGGTAGCGAGGCCCCCGTTTCAGTCTGCGGCCCACCAGGGGTCGGAGGTAGCGCCGGCGCCTCGCCGCCGCGGCGTCTCCCGGCGCACGGCCTGGCCAGCCGCCGCTGCCGCCGGCGGCGCCGCTGATCCGGCGTCGGCCGGCTGTCATCGCTTGAGCCGCCACGACGGTCGGCCGGTGCACCGCCGTATCTGCCGGCAGATCGGGCCATTAGCTGGCCCATTACACTGCGGGCGGCCGGCGGACTCCTCCTGGGCGCTGCTCCGCTCGTCTGCGGGCCGAGGCCTCGCCGCGCGCCCCCGGCCGTCACGCGGCGCCGCCGGGCCCAGCTGTGGCTCGCCCCACGTGCGGCGCCTCTTGCGTACGCGCCGGCCGGCTGTGCGAACCGCGGATCACGTGTGACGCACGCCGAGTACGGCGCGGCACAGGTGTTGGACGTAGTACGCGCCGCGAAACTCGCCGGAGAACGAGACTGAGAACAGATCACAGGTCCAGTGGAGCCAGCGCAGGACTGTAGAACACGATGGAAGGCAGTCCAGACAACAACGGGGACCACGCCATGGGACTGAGAGCTGCCATCCTGTCAGAGCTGTAGAACCAAACGCACCGGAAACCTCAGCCAACCAACCAGACAACCTGCAGTAGACGCCGATCAGCGCTCTCCGTCGAGGATCACAAGAAGCACGGAATAACGCTGGGTTCAACCAGGAAGCCCATATCGACCCACGCGCCGCAAAGGAGCACGGCTGGCGCTCACGGAACACGCGGCAGGCCCGCGTGCGTAGCGCAGGTCTCCAGCGGAACCGGTCTCGCTGAGCGTCGGCCACCGGCGGCGGTGAGCAGTGGTTAGCACCGGACGACAGGCGGATTCGTGCAAACCACTTGGCCTTGTGCATTCTGATACCAATTTCGATTGCGTCGTAAATTAACCTGATGTATTGCTCTCATTACCCTGACGTCCTACTGAGATTGAGATGCTATCATTGGAAGCTGGAGTTTTTGTGCGCGCTGCAACGGGCCTCATGGGGCGCGCGCCGGCTGCGGAGGTGATAAATGAGAGCGCGGGCGGCGGCGGAGCGTCTCAGAGCGGCGCCGACCGCTCCTCGGGCCGGGCGGGGTCAGTTGGGCAGTCCGGCTCCAGCGGCCGGGCAGTATGTCTCCAGCGGCTGGGCAGTCCGGCTCCAGCGCCGGGCAGTCCGTCTCCAGCGGCTGGGCAGTCCAGCTCCAGCGGCCGGGCAGGTCGGCTCCGGCGACTGGGCAGTCTGTCTCCAGCGGCCGGGTAGTCCGGCTCCATCACCGGGCCGAACGGCACGGGGCAATCCTTATCGGCTAAGGTCCGAGGCCTGGAGGCCGGGACGTGGATCTCTGTCCGCCTGTCGGACCCGGCTGTAGCCAGATTGTGCAGAGTGTAGCCAGACCCGGCTGGAGCTAGAGTGTACAGAGTGCAGTCAGACCCGGCTGTAGTCAGAGTGTACAGAGTGTAGCTAGACCCGACTGGAGCCAGAGTGTACAGAGTGTAGCCAGACCCGGCTGTAGCCAGAGTGTACAGAGTGTAGCTAGACCCGACTGGAGCCAGAGTGTACAGAGTGTAGTCAGACCCGGCTGGAGCCCGAGTGTACAGAGCGTAGCCAGACCCGGCCGCAGGCAGAGTGTACAGAGTGTAGCCAGACCCACCTGGAGCCAGAGCGTGCGCGTGTGTTATTGCGGCGGCCGTCTGTCCAGATGCCCCGAGTTTTCATAATATTGGTGCCAAAACCCGGAACTCATAAACTCTTAAAACCCTGAAACCCAGCATTCTAAGGGGGTTCCTTATAAAAATTACGTGAGAAAGCTTCCTTTCCAGAGTCAGCTTTGAAGCCCACTTGTGCGCGTTGTGCCTTCATGATCTCATGATCGGCCTTACGGTAAA